TTTTTATTAATTTCTATGCAGTAGTTTTTGAGTAATGAATAAATAAAAAATTTCAAAAAGTTTTGTTACACACTGTAAATATTAATAAATAAAAATTTTATAAAAAATTTTTAAAAGAAATTTCATTTTTGGTTACAACTTGCTATACATATAAAAATAATCTGTTTGAGTTTAAAGTCTAATTAATTTAAAACATTTACAAATATCAGAAACCTGTTAGAAACTTATAGTCCAATATAAAATCCCAAATAATATTTTGATTTTTTTATAATATTAATGCAATAATCAAAACTTACAAAAGATATCTCTTTATAAATAAAAAAATATTACTTAAAGTAAAATATTTTTACTATTAATTTTGATAACAATCTTTCCAGATGTTTAGATTATTTAATTGACATTTTAAAAATTTAAAGAAGATATAATAATTTTGGTAACAAATTTTTTTAATTGGCTAAGAATATTAAATATAAAATTTTATTGATAATTAATATATGATGCCATTATATTAAATATTTTTACAAGTTAGATTATTTTTACCTTAGATATAAATTAATACTATTTAGTAAATATTATTTTCAATACTATTGATTTCTTTTTTTGTCAAACTAACTATTCTAATTAATTAACTTTAACTATTCAAAAAATAAGTCCATATTAGATAGGACTTACATATGAGTGATAAAATTTTTTTATTAATTTAAGCCTATTTTTCTATTGATTTAATCATATTTTTTAGCTGTTTGTTAAGGAAGGTTATATAAAATATTATTATAAAGATTAATACTAAGGTTTTAAACAAAGTACTGAAATAGTACCAACTTGATACTAACTTATAATAAAGTTAATATATGGGTTGTGATCCACTATATTAAACTCATAGTAAATCCAGTATTAACTTGATACCAAAATAATACCATTAAAAACCTTTATTAATACTAGTTATACTAATTACCTGTTATTACAAGTATAATATAGCATTACTATTTTTATTACTTGTAGAACTAATATTCTTACTTGAATTCCAATTTAATCTTGTATAGTCTTTACTAAACATATTTGGCTTAACAATATTTATTTAGATTCTTATTACCTGTGACTAATATCTTGTTCTTTGGTTATAATTAAGTTCTATGGAATATTACAATTGAAATAGACCTATAAGCTTTATATCGAAATTGATTAACTTAAGATTAATTTTTTTGAATTATATAACAAAGTCTGTTACTACCAGTTTAGATTAGAGTTTATAAGCTTTTATTAGAGTTAAACTGAAAGTTTTTTCTTATATAACCTTTTATATTTCGATTTGTTTTTAACCTACAATTATTAAAAAGATCTCTGAGGTTTTATTTTTATGCAGCCTAACTAAATTTGCATATAATTAGAATTATTGGATATGACATATATAAGATATTCAGTAAATTCACATATAAATTAAATGTGCTTTTGATTCCTGTAAGAAACATGCATTTGGAAATTTAAAAGCACTATCCACTATACTATTGACCTATAGATTGATTTTGTTAACCAATTATTTAATATTAATTTATATTTTTTATATAAAAATATATAATCTAGGCTTTAAAATTAATATTTATTTATTAAATAATATTACATATAAATGAATATATTAATATTTAAACTTAAAAATTTAAAATTTAAAAATTATAAATCTGAAAATCTTAATAAAAATATTATAATATAATTATATTAATAACCAATTATTTAATATTAACAAATCTTTTTTTATATGAAAGTTTGTAACTTAAATTCAAAATTGATACTTATTTATTAAATAATATTATGTTTTAAACTTTTAAAATTCAAAATTCAATATTACATATTTAAAAATCTAATAACATTATTATATAATTATTTGTATAACTAATTATTCAATATTAACAAACTTTTTTTATATAAATGTCTATAACTTAAGCTTAAAAATATATGCCTATTTATTAAATAATATTATGTATTAATATCAATATTTTAATTTTTTTAAAATTTTAAATCAATCAAAAAATTGCTTGATTAATATAATATAAAATTTAGGTTTATATTTTAAGGTAATAAATCACACTTTAAATTTTAATTCATCTTCAAAATAATATTTATATATTTTTGATTTTGCTGTTTTACCTTTAATATTACCAACTGCTTTACTGCAATTTTATTTTTGAATCATAAAGAATAATAACACCAACATAAAATTTGTTTCTGACCTGATTTAATTGCTTTATCAAATATAAATAAGTCTGATAAACTATGTACAGAGTCCAGAATCATATCCTGTATACAAGACTTACTGTTATTCGAAGTTATTGGGTTGATTTAGGAAAAAAAAATAACTTATGTTTGATTACTGGTCATCCTTATATTAAACCTTCTATTTGATTGTCGGATTCAGGTATTTCAATTGAGATAGTATTAGAATTGCCAAGCGCACAGTTTTGATCGTGACATTTTGTCATGGCTTTTACATTACATAATGATGGGGTATCATCTTCTCAGATTCCATTTGATTAACTAAAGATAAGTCTTGTTTTCGAAGCTTTTTTCCTTTATGCTCTGAACTATCTCTTCATTAACTTCTTCCTTATACCTTGAATCCAGAAATTCATCAATCTCCTTATCTTCTAATGATACAGGTTCAGCTTTTAGATGACTTGCGTTGACGCAGACGCTATATTCCTTACCAGAGTGATCCTCGACAGGTGGTGAAGTAGATAACTGAGATGTTACTGGTAATTATGAACTGGCTGAAGCCTGAGATATAGTTTGATTTTACTTCTCAATTTTTATCAACGGTTCGTTCCAGTTTCACGATTTTTGCTTTAAACTCGGCATTTTCTTCTATAATATGTTTCAGCTTTGAATTTTCGTACTTAAGCTCAGCATTTCGGCTACAAGCTTAGCATTCTCTTGCCTGAGTAAATCTAGTTTGGAAGACATGTTTGATATTATGTGTTTATATATTTGCAGATTTATTCAAATTCGTGACGAAAAAATATTGCCAGCTGTGCAACACGTACTCAATTTAGAGGAAATATTTTTGTGGTTTTTTTTTTCATGCTTTTTAGATTGGATATAATCCCGAATCTCTTAAACTCTAGATCTGTACTAAATTCTCCAAAATATTGTTCATCAGTTTTACTTCTCTTTCCAATTTTACTTCCAGCTATATACAGTATAAACACATTGACTTTAAAAGTGCGTTAGCCTTCCGGCTAAAAATACTATTATATTGGGATGACATTGATATTACATACACATAATATTTAATACTTACGTTGTAATCTCTAATAAGATTGTGAAATCTATTTTTACATTAATATCCCGTATAACTGATTCCGAATCGTTCATTGTTGGTATTGGCTATGCAATTCCAGAAATCTATTCTACTACAGTACTGCCAGGAATATTATGATACTCGATATTTTTGTTTTTTCTTTAGTCTATTAATAAACGTAGTTATCGTCAGTTTCCATATCGATTATAAAAAAAATTGCGACTCAACAAGGTGCTCTTATTTTTATTGGCATTTACATAGTGATTATATAGGAAAAAAGTTTATCGTGTCTACATCGCATCTTTATCGTACCTTCATTATGCCTTATACTGCATCTTAATTATATAGATATAAGAGGAAAAAATTGTATATACAGTATTAGATTCGCTTATCGATCTTAAATGCTGTTGATGTGTTGAAGCGGTGTTTGTGGTAACGTAGGACTCGTTATTATTGTGATAATACTGTTCCACTACCATTCTTGCAATTTCGGATAAAAGCATTTTCAAACTGTAATGGCCTATTTATACCCGTCGAGGTGAATACCACCTGCTACTTTTTTTGTCGTTTTATTAGCAATAATAAGCTTTTTTGGAAATACAGTAGGGCCTAATACTTCGGTTATGTAGATTTATCGAACACATGTACTACTGTTAACAACGATAATAATAAAAATATAAAAATATATATTGTAACAGGGAGAAATGGGACGCGACGTTAGTCACATGACCGATCGACGTGACCATGGTAAGTCGGCTGTGATAATTAGGTAATAAAGGAAGGACGGGAAGGATTGTGAAAAGAATTATGTAATTTAGCTTTAGCCATATCGCTGTATCATTACTTGTTATTATGTCTAAGCCGCCATAGCCAAATGTAAAGTATAAATAACATGTAAAGTATAGAGGAGTAGGGAGGAGACACGAAGTGAAGAAGTGAGAAAATTAATAAAGACTCGGTCAAATACAAACACGCCTAAAATCACCCTTTCATTTAATTACCCAGTAACGGTTACGCGAATCTCTGCTAGAGTTAGCGACTGACTCGCCGTTACACCGTTACAATATATATATAATATTAATAACAGCATTACGCGTTACTTTCTTCTACCTTCCTCTTTTTTCCTATCCTTAAAACGGTAATAAATGATCTTCCCAATAAAGACATGAATCGCCTCAAGAATATCATGATATATAGTATAATTATACAAATAGAGTTCTCTTTCTTGAGTCGCTTTCGTTCCTTACTATATCCATCCCTACAACGATTTTCTTCGTAATCTTCATAACCACACAAGTTCCCATTGTTATGAATACATTTTTTACATTTTAATTCACCACGATCATCTAAGTAGGTTAACCATAAAGGATGCACACCAGAAATACTTTCTGTACATTTGAAGTGACACTGAAGTATATCTACTTTATTCCTATCTACATTAGTTACTTGAATTTCTTGATCAACACCTAGACACCGACAATCGCTGAACCTCATGCCATGTTTCCATCCCCTTTTAATTTTCCAATCATCCATTATCATTTTTATAAAGTTATCCCGAATTCCTTTATCCTTTATACAACATGCAAAGTCGATATTAAATTTAAATATAAACCCGCTATTATCCTTCATCCATAAACGCCAATGAGTTGCGATTACACGGATAATACTAATAATAAAGATAAAGGTCAAACTCCCAACGCTATGCCATCCCCCGAGTATTAAATCCATAATCACAAACATTGTACCGGACCAACATATAAACATAACAAGAAGTCCGCTCGAAATAGTATTTTCAGAATTGGGTTGAATATTATAAGTCATTAATTCTCTTGCAAATTTCTCGATTTCACCTTTAAGCAAATAAGCAGAAAGGATGTTGTCACTAATAGTTGTCTCATAGAAATCAATATAAGCCAGGATAAGAGTGCTTGTTTCTGGGAACTTTTCTTTAAACTTATCGAACTTTATGCCAGGTACAAAACAAACACAGGACATAATAATCCCGAATATAAATAATCCCAGATTAACCCACCACGCTTTGTTTATGTTACAATCTGCATTCTCAACAGAACGATAGAATAAATAAATTACATAAGATGAACACAAACTCATCACAATCATTATTACTAACTGAGCCTCATGTAATCCCTCGTGATAACTTTCTAATTCGTTTACTAAATGATGGAAGCTCTCAAGACTCCCAAGACTATCACATTTAGAATACTTGGCCAGCCACGATAATGTATGTACTTGCATGTAACAATGAAATCTACTCATCGAATCATGAGGAATAAAAGGGAAATTTTTAGCAATCTTTTCAACCCCACAATTACCTATTGGGTTCCACGGGCCGTCAGGACACTTAATAAATCCATCATTAGCCATATTATCCTCACAATTCTCATTTTTTGTAATTGAGGTATCAAGAGTTGTAATACACCACCCCTTTGCCTCCCTTTCACAATTTATCATACCCCACATGTTCGAAGGCATGCATGGAAGCCAACAAAGGCAGGGTTGATCCTTAGTTATGATGTAGTTTTCCACACCCTCGCCCCATACATCAGATCCGGATACACCATGAACAGAACGTGTAAAATTCGTTCCACACATAGCATGAAAACAGCTCATGCAATTGTAAAGTCCTCTAATTTGAGGTAAAAACAGAACGGAAGAAACAAAGTCCAAAGACCATCCTTCAATGGTATCTGGAAGACCATTATCGGCTATAATTATCAATCCTGAAAAAGGCGGAAGCCACTTCGATACTACTCCAATAATTCCGTTCTCTTCGCATATTTCTTTAGGGATTCTCGTAAATTCAATCATAGTTAAATTACCAAGTTTAATTTGGTTAAACTGAATTTTATCTCACTAAATAGCGAGGGCTTATATATAATGCAAAAATCTGTAATTCATCTTACTATCATTCGATAAATTTTTACATTGCAGGTAATGATGTTATCAGTAACGTGTTATATGAAATAGTACGATATAACAATATTGTCGGTGGCATCCCAAATAAACATGAGACTATATATTCCACATGAAAAACATTGTAATTGATAAATACGTGCTAAATCAAACTTATTCAAAATGAAAACTAGGGCGTTCTCAAGATTGAGATAAAAAAATTTAGTAGCCAAATGAGTTCACCATTTTAATTGAACTTTTTTGCTACGAACTGTCTTTATTGACTAAATGCGCAACATTTGTCTATTTTTTCGCGTTTATTTTTATTTAGTCCATTTTACTTCAATTAATAGTTACTAGGGAGTCTCAACAAAGAGATATAAGGTGACATCTATATTTGTTCTTTAATTGCTATTAAAACATTTTCGCATTTGTTTCACATAGAAACGAAGCAAAAAACACAAATGCGTTCTGTCAAATTAAGTAATTAGACGGTTTTTTTTATCCAATAGTATCAAGACTGAATGTTGCAAATTTATGGCGTGTCGTGTAAATTACATAAATTGCTTATTTAGATTACATTGACATGATAGTTACGCACGTACAATCATCAGAAAATCTCGGTATAATATCAGAATCCGAAATTGCACGAATACTGTACATACGTACGTACGCATGATTTTTGTCTTCAGATATACTCGCCTTATCTAACATATTGCAACCAAATGTTACCCAACTAAGAAAGTTGTTGTTTTTTCCAATAACACTTGTCGGTCGTCGAGTTGTGCAATATACTTGACATGTTTCTTCATCGAATAAAGACAATTAGGCTTTTTATTTATTACTATTTCGTGATAATTAATAGCTGTTTTTGTTGGTATATGTTGAATATATGATAAAAAAGATATTTTGCCGATCCCTTGTGAAAATTCACAAATCGAAGAAATTCCTTGGTATTTTTTTGTTGGTATTTTTCTTAATTTTTTGCACGCAAATTAATAGTCAATGTTTCATGCTGATTACAACCCATTATTACAAAACTATCAAATAACAAAACCCACAAAAAACCAAACGATAATAACAAAACACACAAACAACAACTTAACAAACAAACAAATCAGCATAGTCAGACTGATTATTTTTAAATTCTTTTTTCAAAAATCTATCCATATTTTTTTAGAATAAAATAAATTACTGTACTAGAGAGACATTAATTTATTATTATTAAACAATTCCTTTCTTTTCCTCGTTCAAAGTTTTTTATCAGAAATATATTTAACAGGTGATAGGTTAACATGTATACAGTAGTGTAACAGGAACGCGACAACAGTCATGTGACCAATCGCTACATAATGGCAAGTAGGATATAATAATTAGGTAATAAAAATGAGATGGGAGAAATTGTGAAAAGGAATTATGTAATTTAGCTTTAGACATATCATTGTATTACCACTTATTATTTTATATCCAAGCCATAATAGTCAAATTTAAAAGAAGTATAAATGACACGTAAAAATATAAAAGAAAAGAAAATTAATAAAACTTGGTCAAATAAGAGATGCCTCAAATTATTCTTTAGTTCACATATCTGATAATAGTTATATGAATCTCTACTAAGATTAATAACAGACTTGCCATTACATCATTACAATAGTAATATATTTTAATATTACTATTAATTTTTTTTTTTTTTTTTTTTTGTAGATAAATATCATTTCTTTATTTGATTTGTATATAGCAGGGTATACATCGTGAAAGAAACAACATCTCTTATATGTTGGTACAATGAGTTAAATGCTAGCTTGCCTACAGTAACCATATAACTAATATTGAAAAGAAAATTTAAAACAATATATTTTGCCGGATAGAACCAAGCAGCTATGAATACCTACTTAACATTAGGAGAAATAGTAGTAGAATTAGAATTGGTAGATAGAGTTGTTAGATTATAAATACATTTGGAATAATTATATTTAGATTGGATGAATGGGTTAGCTACAGTAGAAGATAGATCAATAATAATATTGTTCTGTGGATTATTGGAGATGTCTTTGACCTGTGAGATGTTTTTAGCTTCTGAATTAGTGAAATTGATTGAGTTATATATCTTGATATGGTCCTACTTGATTTCAGTGAAAGATGAAGTATTGACTATAGAGCAATGTGGTTTCCAAATTAGATTATGCAATAAGGACAAAGATTCTATTGCTACCTTGATCCAGTTTATAAAGTCTGTGGTCGAAAAGATTTTGTCTGTAACTCCACAAGACAACTCAACGACTTGCCATATATGTGAGATTGGTTTATGATTATCATCTGGATGGAAAGTTTGATTAATAGTTTTAATAATTTGCTCAGCTGCTTGTACTGCTTCCGCACATTTGAAAACATGTTAAATGTCTTCTGTATGGAGTTCACATTGTGGACAAAGAGTATTTGGATAGTGGTTAGGATATAACTGGTGAAGTGTAAAACAGGTTGAAAGAGTTCTTAAGAGCAGTTTGATTCTAAAGGCTACTAAGATGCTATATTTGTTATTATGTAGTTTTCTAATATTTTTATTAAACTGATTAATGACTTTTAAACTGTGTAGAGTATGTGTTTGTCCAAATGTTTGGACAATTGAGGAGCTTTCACATACCATGTAGTCTCTGATAATACTAAATATTTTCTTGCACCATCTGATACTGCTATCCAAACAAATATTGTTGATTAGGAATTTTCTGAAAAGTATAGTGAAGGGTTGTTCCACTGAATGGTTCTGATTAATCTTGATCTGGATTTTGGTTTGGTATATATGATCTTTATAGACTTTTGTTATATGTATCAATTTATTCTTTAAGACAATAAGGAGAAGTTGATTTTAACCATTCTTCTTGAGTATTCAGGTACCGGTTGAAGAATTTTTTTGTTGTTTCTAATTTCAATGGTAGAGTGAGCTGGGATTTCCTGTATGATGTCAAAGATTGCCAATAAAATGTTGCCTGGTGATAGGCTGAAGTTGAATGGTTTTACTTCAGTCTCATTTATAAATAAACTGTTCTTGTGGGATTGAATATGGTAATGTTGTTGCAGACCAAGATCTTGTAATAATAATTAAAGAGAATAACTAGCAGATATATTAACTTCTTGAAAAATGTATTCATTGTTTGGTGGGGAGTTAACAATTTCATCTATTATATTGAGCAGATGGTATTTGAATCTATTAAGAGGACTGAAAGAGACCCATAGTGTGAAAGTGGACATACTTATAAATAGTATTCAGCAAAAACCATGGGAGGATATATCGATTGGGCAGCCCAAACATCTAGTAAGATTATTGTCAAGATCTATGATAAAATGCTTTCCTTTGAGTGGTGTTATTTCATCTATAAGGATATATCTTTTGCAAGTTTTAACAATTGTATTAATATTATGTAGGAACCAGAATATTGTTTTAGGATTTGATATTGGACCGTGGGTTCCAGACAAGTTCTTAGTGTTTGCAAATGTTTTGAACCAATTGGGCTTTGGATCCAAACGAATTATTCCTGTATATGTAGCGAGCTGTGACCAAGAAAGTTTAATGGTATTATTGTACTTCAGCAGTTGGTTAATAAACTTTATGTTGAGGGCATTAGTTGTACTAATTGCTGTTTTTCTAAGTTGTGATTGCATGTTGATAAATAGAAGTCTGATCGAGTTTTTCACATTGTCAAGATGAAATGGACATTCTGCTGGACAAATTTGAATTTTAAGGTTCTTGGCTAATTTTGCAACATAAAGGATCCAGTTTTCCTGGTTGATTTTTTCTAGGTCGCAAATGGGACAAAACCAAATAGCTTCTTTTGTTTGGATAGACTGAATGTCTTGTATTATATACTTCCTGATAGAGGGGATAGAAAGTTTGGAGATGAGATTTCCTATTAAAGCGATTCTTTGCTTCTCTTTTAATACTGTCAAGTTGAAACCACTGCAGCTGACTAGGATTGCATTGGAGCATTTTGATGAAATCTTGTATGCCGACTTTACCAGTTTGTTGATTTTGGTTTGAAGTAAGTTAAGAGTTGTTTTGTTGAGGAATGAGGAGAGTAGAAAATACTCGAACTTCCCTATAATGACCCAGTTATTGATTTGTTGCTTGATTTCTCCTTTCCAATTGTGTTTAGTGAGCTTTTCAATTATCTGCGATGATATCTGCAAGAATGCTTTTCTGTTAACTTTATTAAAATTTCTGGGAGAGATTAATGTTCCAAGATACTTAACACTTTCATATGGTTTGAGAATTTGAACATGGTGGTTGTCGAATCTGATGGTGCTCTGAGTGCCATGCTTTACTCTAATATTGTTAATTATTTTTGTTTTCTCTTTATTGCATGTGATATTGTTCAGTGCGAAGAATTGGTTGACTACATTTAGAAGATTCTTCATTTTTTGCTTGGAGTCTGCAATAAGGGCTAGGTTATTCATATATGCAAGTATGTTGGGAGCCACATATTCTCTAACTGAGTCATATTGTAATAGTTTAGTAACCAGGGGGTTATAAAAAATAACTCATATAATAGGTGATAGAGTTTCACCTTGTTCTACTCCATTGTTGACAATAAATAGATCAGTTAGTCCAAATGGTGTATTGATGGATACTTTTTTGTTACTCAGAATATTGATAAAAAGTTTATTGATTTGCATAGGACAGTTGATTCTTTCTAATGATCTTTTGATTGCTGATATTAAAGCTAAGTCAAATGCTTTGGCAATGTCAAGGGAGACAAACCAAAATTCCTTATTGTTGGCATTTGCTACTTGGAGAGCTGAGTGTACAATTGTTAGAGGTTCTATTGTATTTTGTCTCGGAAAGCTAGCACAGTTGAATTCTGATAATATGTTATTATTTTTGAAGATTTTGGTTAATTTTTTGTTAATCAATCCTGTAAATA